CCTGCACACACATCCATGTCCAAGTGAGCGTGTGACCATGTGTGTGCAGGCCTGTCCCTGCGCACTCTGGGCACTCACAGAGACTGTGTGTTCTTTTTTTTTTTTTTTTTTTTTAAGATTTTATTTATTCATGAGAGACACAGAGAGAGAGGCAGAGACACAGGCAGAGGGAGAAGCAGGCTCCATGCAGGGAGCCTGATGTGGGACTCAATCCTGGGTCTCCAGGATCAGGCTCTGTGCTGAAGGCCGCGCTAAACCCCTGAGCCACCCAGGCTGCCCGAGACTGTGGGTTCTGACACAGGTGGCTGTCAGAGATCGTTTCAGGGGCACCTGGGTGGCTCAGTGGTTGAGCATCTGCCTTCAGCTCAGGTCGTGATCCCGGGGTCCTGGGATCAAGTCCCACATCGGGGTCCCCACAGGGAACCTGCTTCTCTCTCTGCCTATGTCTCTGCTTCTCTCCATGTCTTTCATGAATAAATACATTAAAAAATATAATCTTAAAAAAGAGATTGTTTCAGGAGGCTCCACTGTTCCCACTCTACCATGATGCATAGGGACCACTGGCCTGAGACTCAGGAGCTCCCAATTTCCCAGTCTGCTTCCCTCTCCCTCCAGAGTAGTGGCCCAGCAGGACAAAGGGGTCCGAGGTCCCTTCTCTACTCCTCTGGAGCCCCCACACTGTCACAGCACCAGTTCATTCTGTGATGTAATTGCCTCCTGCTCCCTGACCCCCTCATTGTATTACTTTTTTGCACAGCACAAGCCCTTCTACAGGCCGTATCACTTGCTTATTTCTTCTAATTATTTTCTGTTTCCCTTTTCTAGGATCTGAGCTCTGTGAGGCCTGGGATTTGGGGCTGTTCTGTTCATTCGTGGATCCTCAGTGCTTAGAATAGTACCTGGCACACAGGGCTCATCATCTGTAGAGTGAATGGAGGTCACTGATTTTTTCTCTCTTACCCCCACCAGACAGGGAGCTCCAGGGGTATGGAGCGCAGGCCTGGCACTGTCTGCCCAGTGCGGTGTGGGGCACACAAGAAGAGCTCAAGTCCACGTCTGCTGGCCGAATGACAGCAGAGCTTCTGTCCATTCGTGGCACATCCTGTGGGCACAGCCATGGGCAGGATGAGCCAGAGGGCAGAAGCAGAGAGGAGGAAACCCAGCTCCCCCTCTGGTGGGTCCACAGGTATACCCAGCACCCAGCAGCTGCTCTGGGAGACCAAGCCACAGCCTTAGGGCATGGGCAGGACATGGGCAAGGGTCATGGCAGGCTTCTCAGGTGGAGAAGCCAGTGGCTGTCGCTCAGGGCTACTAGAGATAGGGTGGAACTGCTTGGCTTTATGCCCTTCCCACAGACTGTGGAGCCAGCTCTTTTCTGACACTTTCTGACCTCAGTTTTCCCAGCTGAGAAATGGAGCAAATAATAGTACTGGCTTAGAAGCAGTGACGTGTACAGAGTTCTCTTTGTTGTTGGGAGGATGTTGATGACTATAGTGATGATAAAAAAAAAAAAAAGGTAAAACAAGGGACCCAACCCCTCACTTTCCAGTCTTGGGCATTGTCTCAGACCCTCATTCTGGCCTTTGGGTTGAAGAAGCAGGATCCCATGGGTGCTGGTCCTTAGGGGAGCTAAAGGCTGGCTGGGAGCTCAGAGAGATGAGATGGTTGCATTAGCAGGGGCAAGGCCCAGGGAGGCCAGCCTCTCCAATCTATGGGAGAAAGGGCAAACAGGCTGAACGTGCTCCTTGTCACTCTGCATTATGGACCATGCTTGAGGTGGGGTGCAGAAGATGGCAGCATCAGGAAGCTCTCCCATGGGGCCTACCACCTTGCTGAGGACAGGGGATATGTCCTCATTGCTGTGGGTTCCATTACTCTGGGCAGAGAATATCCTCATCCTGAAGGTCCCAGGGATAGTGAGAGAGCAGCCCAGACACGGAGTCAGGACACCCAGACCCCAGTCTAGGCTCTGCCTCTTGCTCATCTTGTGGCAAGTCACCCCCACCCTACCCCCGATCCATCTCTGAGCCTCAGTTTTCTTCTTCTGTCAAACAGGATGATTGGATGAGATGGTGTCTAATGCCACACCGACAGACAGGCTATGGTTCCCTAGGGAAGTGAGCTAAACCATGTTAGCACAGTGGCTGCCACATAGTAAGTGCCCAATAAATACTGGGGTTGCAACATGTTTGAAGCCGTCCTCTGATGAGAGAGAGACCGCAGTGCTTCCTTCATACTCCACCTGCCCCCCAGCCCATTTTTGCCAACAGGATCCTCCTGCAGGGAGCCAGAGACTATGACAAAAGTATTGGTTCGTCTCTTTGGTTGACCTCTGCCTCTTTCCAGCCATCCTGACCCTATAGCCCACTCTGGCTACCTCCAGGCATCTTGCCTCCCCTGTCCCTCCCCTATCCATGACTATAGAGTGACAGGCAGGGAGGCTGGTGAGGGTTCCTGCCAACCTCCTCACAGATAGGACTTGGCTCCCTGGGGTCCCCTCGGTGGTTTAGACCTGAGCAGAGACCAAGGTCTTGACTAGTTTGAATTTTGTTTCCTTAGAGCCTCTGAAGTTCTACAGACTTCAGAGGTATCAGAGCCTCAGTGGTCCTAGCAGTGAACTCTGGTCACCACACACCCTCTGTCTCCTCCCACTGAAGCACCTGCCTACTCCCTGAGCCTTCCCTTCCCTGCCCACAAGAGGGTCCAGGTCCTCAAGGGAGGCAGCCTACAAGCCCCACTCCATGGTAAAAGGACAGTGTTAGGGCAGCCCGGGTGGCTCAGCGGTTTAGCGCCGCCTTCGGCCCAGGGCCTGATCCTGGAGACCTGGGATCGAGTCCCACGTCAGGCTCTCTGCATGGAGCCTGCTTCTCCCTCTGCCTGTGTCTCTGCCCCTCTCTCTGTGTCTTTCATGAATAAATAAATAAAATCTTAAAAAAAAAAAAGGACTGTGTTAATAGGCACCTTCCAAGCAGTGGGGCACTCAGAAGAGCACCTATGTGCCTGCTGGGGAGGGCACATGTGGGCTCAGACTAGAAGTATGAGTTGGTATTTTCCCACTGAAACAATGGCGAGGCAAGGAGAGGTCACCTCAGGCACAGGGCAGGTACAGAATGTTCTCCTGGGAACTCCCACATCCTAGAGAAGCAGGCAGAAGCTGGGCTGTGGAGGCCTTTCTGGGTCACACTGATGAGTCCAATAAGGAAAGGGGAGCAATGAAGCCTGCCACCCCTAAAATGTTTGGGGACAAGGGTACCAGCAGAAGCCCACAAGCCGAGAGGCCAAACTGCTGAACAAAATATGTTCTTCTTGCCCTCCTTGACAATCAGCCTTCCTAACAACAAAATTTAAGACTTGTGTAAAGCCATGGTTTTTATACAGCTGAGTATTTACGTGGCTAAAATATTCTCGTGTAACTATCAAAACTGAAAGACAAAATATAAATTGTTCTTAATGAGTATCAAAATAGTAAATTAAAATTATGGAAGTAAATATAAATTTTTACTGAAAAAAATTTAACTATAATTAAATAGGATAGGATGTGTTTATAAAATATGATGCTTTGTCATTCCAACATTTGGTGCCTATCAAATTGCCAATACAAAGATTCCCTGTCAAATTTCTCATATATTACACCTAGACCCCCATTTATAAAATGAAGAGTTAGGACTGTTCAGTAGAGTAAAATGCTTCTCACCTGCAATGCATCTCTATTTCAGATACCATGCTGATTTGTGTGCATTTCTGGAACTCAAAGAGAAGAACAGGGACGCTTGACCCTACTAGGATATTTTATCATATAAGAATCCCTTGCAATTTTCTTGAATGTTTTGCAAAAATAACCCATTGCCTGTACGCCATCTGGAAGGGAGGACTCATCAAGTACATCCATATATTTTTTATGTCACCCAAGCACTGGTACAATGTCCATCTCTGTCACTGGCAGAGGCACACTCTGAGGACATAACAAACACAGTTGCTTTTTGTTTCAAGAGCTGAGAGCAAGAAACATTTCCCCATTCCAGGTCTGATCGGTATTCATTGCAAGACCAGATGTTCAGAGTCATTGGTTGCGCCATGCACACGCGGTACCAGATCCTGCCTGACCTAGGCACGTAAGGGGCTCCTTCCCAAATGCAACATCAGGGCCGTGTTTCTGTTTAAGGGTGCCTGGAGCAGAGGTCCTCTTGCTGGCTCCCGGGGTGGTACTGCATAGTAGGGTGCGGAGCAGAGAAGAGACATGGTTGGATTCTCATGCTAGCAAAACCACTGTGGAAACTTCCGGGAAAGAATTAGAAGGAAGTGAGGAGTCTAGGGGGACTTCTAGGGGGGACACTGTTGAAGTGATTTCTGGGTGAGAAAAGATGGAAGTGTGGACAGAAGAAGACATGGGTATAGAATGTTGAAGAGAGGTTCTGAGAAATATTTAGGAAGCAAGAAAGTTCCCTTTTCTTTTCTCTGTGGGTGTCTAGAACCTTCTCTCCAAGGCTGGGTGGGGGGAACATGGACGAATCATCAGACAGCTAAAGGAAGGGAAATTCAGAATCATGGACAAAAGGGGCTCAGGATAGGCCCAGTGCTGAGCTATTTGACCCACTCCGGCAGCTAGCTAGTGCCTGGCCAGAGGCCGGGGCTGGCGACCCTCCCCACGGAGGGCAATGCTGAAGCGTAAAGACGTTGGGTGGGGGCACTGCTGGGGCTGGGATGAGGTGGAGGACAGGCTGGGGCCCGGGAGGAGCAGCAGCCCCAGAAGTCGTCTGCAGCAGGGCCTGCTCGGTTTGGGGCCCAGTGCCTGGAGGTATCAGGCTGGACAAGATGACCTCATAGGGAACCCTTCCAACTCCAGGCTCCTTGCCCTGATCCCAAGGGCTAAAACTCCATCCGCGTCCTCCACACTCCATGTCTACACCTGGCAGCGCTCGCAGATGGTTATCTCCCCTCCCCCCACCCCACGCCTCCACCCTCCCGCCTGTCCGGCTGCCAACAGCCCCACTCCTGGCCTTTCATCTCGTGCCACAGCAGCCGGCCGCGACGCTGCAGGCCCCCGCCCCCCGGGCTGGCCAGCTCCTCAGCTTCTCCTGGGCTTGTGCCCCATGGGGCTGCGAGCCGTGTCCCCCAGGGCTTGGGCTTCCTGCTGCAGACCCTGCAAGGTGGGGTGGCCTGGGGACACGCTCCCCCTCACCCTGGAGCAGGAGTGTACACCCTTCCCCTCCACCACTCCTCACCACCCCCAGGAGCCCTGTCCTTGCCCTGTCCTCTCTGACCTGGGGGCCCAGGCAGCCAAGGTGGAGGCCACAAGACCGTGGCCCCATGGTCAGAGGAACAGACATTGGGAATGACAGGCACTTTCCCCACTGGGATTTTCTTCTCTGCCTGAGCTTGGCAGCGCTGAGGCAGGGGGGTGGCTGGACTGACCAGCGGCAGGCCAGGATGAGTAGCTTCTCAGGTGGATGGGTTGTTGCCATAGGCATCAGCCCCTTCCAGCCCCAGCCCTGTGCCCAAGGCCAGGGGGAAAGTGTGGGGTGAGGCCAACTAGCAGAGGTGGGGAGGAGGCACAAGATAAGTTCTCTGTGATACTGGTGGGAGGCTGAGAGGGAAGCAGAAGATCCTTTGATGGGGAGAAGGTAGGCTGGACCAATAGCTACGAGTTGCCCTCTAGGGCTTGCTGTGGACAGAGGTACAGATGAGACAAAGAAGTCTGGGAAATAGCCTCCTCCTCTGGCTGAGGTGAGTTGAGGCTAAGGCATAACCTGGCCACCCTCCTGCCTCTAGCAGAAAAGAATAGAAGCCACGCCTGGCAGACAGGGGTAGAGGCCTTGTCCAGAAACCACATCCCACCCTCAGGCTTGGACATCCTCTGTGTACAGACAGGTGGGCCTGGCAGGAGCTCTGTGGGCCGTGGTCATCCAGGAGCCATGCCAGGCCATATGGGTGCCTCCTGCACAGGCTGGGGGGCTCCTGAAGGCAGACCCTGGGTCTTCTGTACCTCCTGACCGCAGTGCTGGGGTTACATCCAGGTGACTTTCCTGAAGCTCTGGTTCACTTCTTTGTCCCCAGCCTCTTTGCAGAGTACCCTCTGCATTCCAGGAGCTGCTCAGGAGGGAGCGGCAGGGTGTGAGGACCACCCGCGGCACCCCCAACTGTTTGCTGGTCAAAGGCAGGGAAACAAAGACAAAGTGGACAGTGAGAGGAAGAGGCGCTCCTGGGGGCTGGGAGCAGCTCTGAGCTGCACTGCGCAGAGGAAGCCTGGGTCGAGCAGAGCCCAGAGGGATGGCAGGACCTGGGCAGGAGAGCACCCGCTGCAGCAGGGGAGAGGATAGGGAGCGCCACTGTCTCACGCCACACAGAGGATGAGGGCAGCGGGGGTGCTAGAAGAACCCATATGTGCATAGAGGGGCAGAGTTACCCCTGGAGAGGGAAGGGGGTGGCGGGGGGGGGGGGTTGGTAAAGAGAGATCTATATTTTCTTGCTTATTTTCCTACATTATGGAGACTCATTCATGCAAGAATGTATTCACTTAATTACTTGTGGAATCAAAAGATACAATAAATGGTGAAATTCAAATAAAGCGTTGGATTTAGTTAATAGAAACCTACCAATGTTTGTTTCTTGGCTGGGACCAAGGTACCCCGGTGATACAGGTTGTTAACAACAGGCGACACTGGGTGGAGCAGTGGATGGGAACTCCCAGTTTTGTCTTTGCCAGTTTTCTGCACATCTAAAATTATTCTAAAACAGAACTAAAAGAAAAAAATAATGTTTAAAAATATAGTTAAGCTCCCCCCCCCCCCAAGAAAGGACTGCCACTGAGAAAGTCCATTCACTATCCTGCCACACGGCCACCTGACCGGGAGGCTGGGGGAGCAGGCCAGCTGCAGGAGAGGGTACTGGGGTCAGGGTACAGCTGGTTGGGGCCCTCAGTGCGGGACCAGAGGGCATCACGGAGGTCTGTCTCGGTGGGTCAAGGGACATCTAGCAAGTGCCCAGGCAGTTGGGCAATCCAACATGGCACAATGGGGTTACGCTGGCAAAATGCTGGACCCTAACCTGGACTCACGGGCAGGTAACATCTCATACCTGAGAGGTAAGGAGGAGACAGACAGAGAGAGGAGGGGGGAAAAGATTTCTAAAAAGACCTGCACGTCGTTCCTTCCGGCTGGAGTGTGGAGTGGAGGGTGGGCAGGGCAGGGCTACAGCCAGATCCTGGAGCTTGGAGTCCAGACTCCTTACTCATGGTGTTCTCGGCCATGGCGCTTAAACTCTTGGGGCCTCAGTTTCCTCATTCATAAAATGGAAATTATCGTCCCACCTGCCCTGCATGCCTCCCAGAGCTGGTGTGTCACCGGCGAACCATACCGTGGCAGGGCCTGGTGTGGAGCGCCCTGGAAAGATGAGCATTGAGTCCACAGTGAGTGGAAGGGGGGCAACCCTCTGTGCCCGACACAGAAGGCAGCTCTGGCCGCGCACAGCCCTGGATGTAGGTCTTGGAGGAGCTTCCCATGGTGGGGCCCTCCCCGGGAGCCGGTGTCCTCCCAGAATTGCTCCTCAAAGGAACGAAGCCCCCAGGAGATAGGCCAGAGCCCCCCACGGTGGGTGGGGGCGGGCAGCGGGGGCCTGGGAGAGCAGGCTGCCAGGGCTGGGAAGATGTTGAGGTGGGGATGGAGGTATCTGTGAGGGCCCAAGCCCAGGGGGGAAAAAATTCTTGCTGGAGCTGTATAATTAAAATCCTATTAAGCGGCGCCTGGCAGTCTCCTATCAACCCCCACCAAGGCTCCACGCAGAACCCTCTCGCAGCTGCGGCACCCTGCTCCCCGGGCACGGCTAGGGGCTGGCTCTGCTCGGGGAGAGCCGGGGGCCAGGATACGGCTGGCCTTGGGCAGAGCTGGGGTGGGCCGGGATGGGCACCGGGAGGGGGAGCACCGTCAGGGCTCTGGGCCAGGACTGCCTCTGGGCCCCTGTATCCCCCCACCCCTCCCCCTGTCCTGGGAGGGCTCAGCGGCCTCCCTTCACCCCTTCAGCCCCTCTGCCTGGGGTCACAGGACCCATCTTCAGGCCTCCCGTCCTCCTTCCTCCTCTCTCCCAGGCTCCCAGCTCTGCTCTGGGCAGCTCCTCGGAGCCCTGAGAGGTCGTCTCCCAGCTCCCATCCTCCTCAGCTCGGGGTTGTCATCCCCTGGTGCTCCCCCTTCTCCTAAGTCTTTCCCCTCCCCTGCTCAGGTTCTAAGCCCTTCTTCCATGCAGCCTGCCACGACTCCGAACCCAAATTCTATTTGCCCCCCTCCCTCTGTGTCTGGCTCTCTCATACTCACTTGTCTACACACTGCTGTCCTTCCCTATATCTATATACCCTGAGTACATTGGTGTCTTGCCCCCCCCCCATCAGACTGATTACTGTCACCCCTTCTCTGGGCAGGGCTCCCTGCCAGCCCAGACCAAACTGTAGTTTGAAAAGTTCAGGGTTTGATTGGTCTCCCCCGAGGAAGGCCTTCAACCACAGAGCCCTGGTATCTGGTCAAAGCAACAGGAGTCCTGGGCAGACAGGGAAGGCTTGGGCCCAGGGACTCCCCACCCAGCCTCTTTGAACAAATGGCCTGGAGAACAGCTCTGGAAACAGGGCTGATGAAAGGTGGGGGGTGCAGGGTGGATAGGCTGGCTGGGCCCTGGTATCAGCCCCTGAAGAATGCATCCTGGCATTTTCCCAGATGCACACCCCCAGTTTCAGAGCCTGGCCCCCAATAGGTGTGATTGCTCTAATCCCCTCTGAGGGGGTGAGGGCCTGAAATCATCTGACCTCTCAGTCCTCCCCTAGGGACAGCACTGGATAATCAAGATGACAGGCATGGCAGAGAAGGTGTAAGGCAGACTGCCCAGGATGCCAGCTGCCGGAGGTGGGCTGGCTCTGTGGGACCCTCTCTGGGACTCTGGGACTCTGGGACTCCTTCCTGGGTCACGGGGCTGGGTACATTCTGGGTGGCCCCAGGACCTTGTACCCTGCCACCACCCCAGGCTGATCTCACCAGGCTTCCCCTGATTCTCCAAGACTTCTAGAGCAGAGGATCTCACTCTTTTGTTCAGAACCCCTCTGGGATCCCAAAGGAAGGCAGGGCCGTGGCATGCTGCCCTTTGACCCTTCCAACTCAGATTCTGAGTCTTTCACTAGCCACTTCACAGCCTGGGATCCCCTCACCATCCAGAGAGGCCACCCCTCCCTTCAGGTTGTTCCTGGCTCCTTGTAACTGGAGAACTGAGTGCAGCCCCTCTTTCAGTCTGAGGGGAGGCAACATAGGACAAGGAGAGCCCCCCTCCCTCTAGGCCCTCTCTCAGATCCTCCTCCAAACCTCTCCAGCACCAGCCTGGCAACTCAGAAGGCAGAAGTCAAGGACTCGGGCCCAAGCTCTGCCACCAAACTGGCTGTATGAACACGAGCAGCCATCATGCCCTCTGGGACTCCATTTTACCATCTTGATCAATCTTTGGATGTAGACACTGACTCACCTCCCTCCCTCATGCTGTTCTTACTTAACCCCCCTCCCCCATCAGTCACTATCTTCAGACACTCCCCTCCTGCACCTCCCTTCCCACCAGGTGCCCACCAACTACTCTTCTCAGCCATTCCCTTTATAGGACACATGCTCAAGCACAGACCCTGTGCCTAGTGATGGGGTGACTGAGACAAGACATGGTCTCTGTCCACTGCGCCTGTTTCATGTCATTTAGGGGAGAGATGAAACCAGAAATCAAAGAAAAGACAGCTCGACAGATGAGTTTCTGAGCATAGATTTGATGTAACATTGGAGGTAGAAGGGACTTTGGAGGTGATCCTGGTGACACTGAGGCCGGCGGGGGGGGGGGGGGGCGGGAATGCCTTAACCAAGGCCTCTAACACATAGGTGGGCATCTGGACCCATCTGTCTACCGGACCAAATGGAAGCAGCTGGGCCTTCTGGAGGACAGGGGCATTCTCCAAATTCCCCCAAGGTGGGGGTGACCAAGAGCAGTGTAGCAGCCCAGACTGCATGACACTCCGCTCCCATCGCATTCACAACTGAGCTGGCCAATCAGTCCCTGAGAAGCCGGTCCCTGCCATGAAGGTCTTATAGTCTCAAAGAGGTGGGCAGTAGCCCGTTGACACTAATATAAGGCTCAGGAGCTGTGTCCTGGGAAAAGCCTGAGCTTCTGCTGATGAGGGCGGAAGAAGAAGGAGAGACTCATTGTGGCAGTGGGGGCTCTGGAGGGCTTTCCCTGGGGTGGGGGCCTGGAGAGGAGGCCCACTCTTGACTCCACCCTTGATGTACCCACAGCACGTCTGCTTAGATCCAACTTGTGAACTGCCCGTCTATGCAGGTCTCAACAGTGGGGAATCCTTACTGGTGTGAAGCCGCTGCTCAGGTCAAGGTCCCTCGTTTGAAAACTGGGGACTAAGGATCAGAGAAGGACACTGACACCCCCACAGAGTCATGCAGAGCAGGCTCCTCCGCCTTCTCTTTGCTCTAAATCACTTCATCTGGCCCTGGTCACTAGCAAAGAGTTGCTAGGCCAAAAGGACCCTGAAGAGACACATCTTGTTCTAGAAAGGCCTATGAAAGAGACAGGGTGGGGACAGAAGGGAGGAGCAGGAGCCAGACTTTGATTCTAGTTCCCTCTGCTTCCTGACTCTGCCTCTCTGCACAGCTCCCCCCATAAGATCTCAGCTGAGACCCCCACAGCTGCAGGGGTGAAGACTCAGCCAGGGGTGGCCGCACACCAGGCCCAAAGCTGCGGTGACGTCACCTCCCGTTCTCCCGGATGTGGGATCTTCCCAAGATGACAAACTCCATGAGCCTTTCATTCCGCTCCGAAGACGGCCTTGTGAGGGAAGAGCTGGGGGTAGCCTGGAGGGTGGATGCCCCCGCACCCCAGGAAAGGATGGAAGGTAGCAGACAAGGCAGGGTGCCTGCCCCTTTCTAAGTGAGGTGCCTGTCTCAGAGGCCCTCAGCCACAAAAGGGCCAAGTTCTCCTGAACTCTACCCTCCGTCTCTCTTGCTGCAATTCAAACCCCTGTGTGTTCTGGGGTCATTAGCACCGAAAAACTCAGCTAGTGAGCAGATGAGTATTTCTTTTCTGCCACAGGCCCAGCCCCCAGCCATCCACAGCAGCCCTGAAGAAGTTAACCACAAGATCCCAGCACTTGGGACGGTTACAGCTTTGTGAGCCACGCGTTTTCCCTGGAAAGCCCCCACACCACTTCTGCACTCCCCACTCCTGGCCTCCGCTTTTGCCTCAGGAGTGTTTCACTGACCGTATAATTCTCCAAATTCTGTGTTTTTCCCTCCACACGGTACATTCCCAACTGGACAAATCACTCCCCTCTCTGGGCCTCAGTTTCCCTGCAAAAAGGACAGTCTGTCCCCTCCCTTTTGTGTGTGGGGGGGTGCCTCAAAGATCTCACAGGTCACAGAGGATGGTTGGCTGAGTCAAATGGGGTCCAGGGGCTGGCCTCACCCCCAGACCACAGAGGCTAGCCTTTGCCCTCCCCAGGAGAGGCTGAGACATGGGGTTTCTCTTGTCCCTGAAGGAAGGTCTAACCTAGCCCCCGGCGTCCCAGTGCCCTCCTACATCTTGCCACTGTCAACACCCCTTCCCCCACACACCCCACCTCATCCCACCCAGCCCCACCCAGCCCAGCCCCACTCAGGGTGACAGCATCACCAGCCTCACAGCAGGGGCCTCTGGCAAGCTGACGAGCAGCAGGGTGGGGGTCCCTCCACCCCCCGAGTCCTATTACCTAAAGTGCCACCGCCCCGACTCTATAATAATTGGGGGGTTCATTTGCATTTTGCCTGCATGCGAATTCAGAGAAGCTCCCTGCCCACCCCATGCCAGGGCTCAGCAGCTGTCTGCCCAAGGTCAAGCTAGCTTCAAGGGACAGAGAAGCCCTGGGGAAGGACAGGAAGCAGGAGCTGGAACGGGCACTGTGCCCCGGCTTCTCCCAGGAAGGGGAATCTTGGCAGGGTCCCCAGTCCTGGCTCAGGGGCCAGGGTGGGGACGGAGGGGGTGACGTCCTCCACCTCCCTCCCGGTCTCAGTTTCCTCATCTGTAAACTGGGGCTAATAACACTTAACGAGCGAGAGGGGTGGGGGGGCGTGTAATTAGTGCCTGCTGGCTCTGGGCTTTGAAGTGGGGGAGGGGATGGGGTGCACAGGCAAGACAGAGCTGGATTGAGCAGGAGGCCTGAGTCTACTGGCCGCAGTGGGCAGCAGCGCGAGTCCCAGGACCCCCTCCCATTTGGGGGAAACCACAAAGCAGAGAGCACGTACCTACAGGAGGCCTTCAAGAGCAGGGGTAGGTGAGCAGATCCAAGGTCTGGGGCCACAGAGAGTTCCGGGTGTGAACCAAGTTGCCCCAGGCCTCCTAAGACAGGAGCGGGCACCCCACTACCCCCTCATAGGGTGGCGCTGCCAGGTTGAGGAGAGGTGGTGGGATCCCGACCTCGAGCTCCAGCACACTGTGCGGCTTGGAGCCCTGGGACTCCAGTTCTTGGGATATGCTAGGCACACACAGGGCATGTCTCCATGGACAGGGCAATGGCTCTGGGCACATAGGCTCATGGGAAACTCATGAGGAGGTTAGACAGGC